CCACGTCTTTAAAAGCACCAGTATTAAAGAGGCGTTAATTATACACGTACACATGAGAGCGATTCATGGCTAGCCAGCTATTCTGGAGTAATGAAAATGAGGATTTCCTAATTTTGGCAACTTTAAAATAACATAAAACTGAAAATGTGTTTTTTGAGTAATGAGTTCTACTAGAAAGGAGATTTACGTGTTGCTCACATATGACATAGGCTGTACTCAGCTTCAGTCTATGACCACGGTTGACTGAAAAAAGACAAATTTCCTGCTTGTGTCTTCTTCTGTGTTCTAATCATCAGGATGCAATAAGGTTTGCGCTGAACAACGCATAATTCACATTTCAGTGAAGTGACCTCCCAGCTATGCCACTTTAACTCAGAACGTTCACTTCACATGCGCCGTGAAGGCCTAAAAGGTATTATAAAGCTGGCCCGAGGAAAATGGTGAAACAGGGGTGTTATGGAAGCCACCTTTCAACGACACAACTGAGACTTTGTCTCAAACTGTTTTTGTTTTTTTGACAGTGAGATCACTTTACTCAACTAACTTCTACAGTCGCCAGATCTCAATTTAACACAGCACCTTAGAGATGCGGCAGCATGTTAGTATATTTCAAACACTTTGATATAGCTATGGCATGAAGAATTAAAGCAGCTAACACAGCACTAACAAGGTGCACAAAATAAAGTAGTCAGTCAACTTTGAGCAGACAATTTACATGAAGCCTCATCTGCAAAGTGCCACTTTAGAAAGCTTTTTCCTTTTTTTGTGTGTTTATAGAGCAGGCTTCTTATCTTATATCCACAAACGAGTGTTAATCTGTACTAGTTAAAAATAAATCTATTAACATGCAAAATATTTTTGTTTTACTCACTTAGCTATGAACGCATTTGTTTAAGTGAAGAAGGACTTCTTTGCTTAAGGTCTCTAAATGATCATGCTTGGTCAATAGCCAGGTGGGGATATAGAGACCATGTGATTTACATGAATTGTTATGTCAGGACCCAACATTTCCTGGCATAATGATGCATTTAAACAACCTAAACACGCAACATGCGGAGGGTTCCTAGTTTAAACCTCCTCGTTGGCTGGAACCTTTGTTTGCATGTCCTCTCAGTGCCAAATAAAACGATGACACACTGTACAACATTGTCATACATCAGGCCAGTCTGTGTCACTCAGAAGAGCTTTTTAGAGACGGGAAACAAACAGGAAGTTGGTGCAACATTTCTGTCGCCCATCAGTATTCATTTATTTTAAATTATGTTGTTAAGTTGTAGCAAAAATCTACCATTATTATTTTCAACCAGTAAAACCCGACCAGCCTCTGGTGTTCACAAAACTAAAC